GGAAGAGGAAAGGCAGAGCGCTTTGGAAAAGGGGGAAAGCTGCTGCTGGTGTTCCTTGGTGGATCCTCCTGACCTAGATCTTGTCCAACAGCAAACCACCAAATCTGGGCTAAGTCTCTGTTCGCTTGACCTGACAGGGCTGTCTCTCGATGTGCTTTCAGCTTGGGTACCTCAACGTTGGCATCTGCTTGTGGAAACAGCTGCCTTTGCTCCCTCTCCCGCGAATACCTGCTTATTTTTAGCTAATCCCTGCTGCACCAATGGAGAAAACAATGTTGGATGTCAAAAATAGATGTTGCTCACCCCGAGATGTGCACCTGGAGAGGTCCTCCGCTCCCCCACCCGTGAGGGACACCTAAACTTCTCACCCTGGGCTGGTGGCTGCTTGGGAGGCTGGTGGCTGCGTTTTATTACAAAATGAACACATACATCCTGTGCTCCTGGTACATGCATGACCCTTCCCCGTAGAAGGCATGGGCTGCTGGGTTTGTCGGCTGTGGGAAGGCTTTGATGTCCTGCTCCATGCCGAGGAGCCACCCACGAGCCATGGAATCATAGAATCATAGAACCATAGAATCATAGGTTGGAAAAGACCTCTAAGATCATGGAGTCCAACTGTCAACCCATCACCACCATGCCTGCTAAACCACGTCCTGAAATGACACATCTACACAGGACTTTCCAGGATGGTGGAAGCCCAGCTTACCAGCAGGATGAGCTCTCTCCAACCCTTGCGTTTGACCGGGCAGAGGCAACCCCAGGAATAAAACCAGAGGTCACAGCTCCAGCTCCGGCTCTCATGATGCTGCCAGGCAAGGCTGAGATGCAGCTGGCAACTGCTAAAAGTGACAGCACAACAGAATCACAGAATCACAGAATAGTTGGGGTTGGCAGGGACCTCTGTGGGTCACCCAGCCCAAACCCCTGCCCAAGCAGGGTCACCCAGAGCAGGCTGCACAGCACCGCGGGCAGGCGGGGCTGGGATATCTCCAGAGAAGGAGACTCCACAACCTCCCTGGGCAGCCTGGGCCAGGGCTCCATCACCCTCAGAGGGAAGAAGTTCTTCCTCATCTTCAGCTGGAGCTTCCTCCGCTTCAGTTTTTGCCCATTGCCCCTTGTCCTGTCGCTGGGCTCCACGGGAGAGTGTCTGGCCCCGTCCTCCTGACCCCCACCCTGCAGATATTTAGAGGCATTTCTAAGGTCCCCTCTCAGCCTTCTCTTCTCCAGGCTGGACAAGCCCAGCTCCCTCAGCCTCTCCTCGTAGGAGAGATGCTCCAGTCCCCTCCTCATCCTCGTAGCCCTCCGCTGGACTCTCTCCAGTAGCTCCTCATCTTTCTTGAACTGGGGAGCCCAGAACTGGACACAAATAAAACCAAACAGAAAAGCTTTACGGCTTACCAAAATCTCGCTGTCAGCTTCCAGCTTCCTACAAGCCAAGGATCCATCTTTTGGGGCTTTCTAGTTTGTTTTTTTTATTATCCCTATGTAGCATCAAGAGTACAAGAGGCCATTTTCCCCCCGTAACAGAATCACAGAATCACAGAATCACAGAATAGTAGGGGTTGGAAGGGACCTCTGCACTTTGAAGGAAATAATTCAGACCTCTTAGAGAGAAAAAACGAAGCGTGCCGTGCTTGTGTGGTAAACAAACAAGGTTTGGCCTCTGCCATGTTTCACGAGAGTTGTTTTTCCTCCCTGCTGTTCAGATTTATGGGATCCCGTTGCATTTACGGGATCCCATAAAGGTTTCAGCAGAGTCCACCCTCCAGGCAGTGCCCTCTGAGCAGTGGATGTTCGTACCGAGAACAAGCTTGCTGCCTACGTAGCTCTTCATGAAAAATTTATGAATAACTTCAGGCAGAGATAAAACAAGAATGTAACAAAAGTTTCTCACTTCTTACCTTGGGAGGGAACATTAAATAATAAATGACAACGGCGATAAAAACCCTCCTAGTCCATTCATCCAAGTTCTTCAGGCTAAAAGATCTTCGTTCTTCTGAAGTGCTATTTTAAGAGGAGAGATATTAAGATTTCCTCTATCCTTAAATTATGGTTTTATTCTCTTTGCAAAAGGCAGCCCCCGAGTCAACGCAAATAGAAAGGCGAGTTAATTCTCCAGCAAGCTGAGGTCTGCATGTTTTTACCACCGTGAATCTGGCACGGTGCGCCCACGAAACGCAGGGTGGAGATGCAGGAGATGATGGAGACGGGACACACTGAGATCCTGCGAGCACAGGAAACGTATCCCAAAAATAGCAGCGCTGGCCCAGAGTTACCCGGACTTTTTTTCTTACAGCCACTGCCCTTCGTAAATGAAGAGTTTGGCTAAGAGAGAGACGTGGCTGAGGGGCACTATGAACTTGAAGAGGTTTGTTAGATGTTTTGTTTGCAGTAGCTAACCCCGTGCAGGTAGGGAAATATGAATTTGGGGCTGTTGGTGGTCATTGCTGAAGTTGCCTTGGGCTTCTTCAGGAGTGGTTGGAGCAGGGAAGTGTTTGCTGCCAGATGGGGGAACCGCCATCCCCGAGGACAATTTAGTGTCAAGGCTTCTTAAACCCAACACAGTCTGAGACATCTCCAGGTGCTACGCTATGATGCTTCTTGATGAAAAAAGAAATACTTTTTTCTGAATTTCTGCCCAGCATAATCTCTGTGGTGTTGCTCTGTCCGGCTCCATGGAATAAAACTCAGATCTCATCTACTCACCCATCGTGTGACCCTGGAGGTTAAAGGCAGCATTTTCTAAAGCTGTTTGGCAATGTCAGATTTACCAGTGTGGGATTTTGTCTGATGAAAGACAGGAAAGAACTCTCTGGAGTGATGTTCTGGCTTCTCTCCCCTAACACCCTGGCTGCTCTGGAAAGACTCTGCAAAGAGGGAACAGTCTGAACATGTCTTAGGATCACAGGAGCATAGGGAAATTCAGGTTGGAAGGGACCTCAGGAGGTCTCCACTCCAACCTCCTGCTCAAAGAAGGGTCAGCCATCAGGTCAGACCAAGCTGCTGAGGGTCCTCCAAGGATGGAGACTGTGCCACCTCCCTGGGCCTCGTACCCCAAACCTCAAAGGTTTCCCTTGGACCTGTTCCTCTTCAAGTGCTTGTCCACAGCCACCACCTGCCCACCCTCAGCGCTACAACTGTCCTCTCGTTGGGTGGCCACCAGCTCTTGGAGGCAACCAGCCCTACACCCATCTTTTTTCCCTCCCTTTGATTTAGTCATTTCAGCCTCGGATGCACGGAGAAAGCCAGGACCTACAGCGCTTGCTGTGTGGCCCCCCCCTGCATCTCATTACCTCCAGGAACAGCTTCCCACCTCTCCCATCCCGCTTCCTCGGGGGCTCAAATACTTCCCCTCACCGTGCTTCGCCCTTCCAGGAGCTTCCTCTCAACAGTGCCCGGGGATACACTTCTTAAAACATGATTTAAGCCAACAGCAGCTGATTTTACAGCTCTCCAGCTCGCTCTCAAGTCTCTGCCTGTCGGCCTCGACCATCAGGCTGGGGAGAGGCTGCAACTTCAGGCAATGCAATGACTTCAAAGGATGGATGTGTAAGCAAAGAACATCTCTGAGCCTCTCCACGTTCGGAATTGCTCCTCAGCTGGTGGTCCTGGAAAGCTCTGGGCTCCTCCTAAGGGGCCCACAGAAGGTGACTGAGAAAGCAAATCTGTTGGCATGCTTATATTGACTTTAACTCCATTGCATCCCACTGGAAAACTTTTAGGGTCTCTATGAAGATATGAGTGAGCCATGCTGTGCTGGTGCACCTCTCCTCTCAGTTTTCCTCTCCTAAACAGGCTCCCAGAAGCCGTTTCTCTCTCCCCGAGACCATTTCCCCCCATCTTTCATCCACCGCTTTTCCCCGAGGACAGATGGAATTTCTGCTTATCAGGAGTTTGACACTCCTGGACTCCCTGTTTCCAGCTTGCAACGGTTTCTGGCTCAGAGAGGTCGCGAGATGACAAGGCCAGGGATGTCAGGAAGGGAAAATCCACCTAAGCTTTTCATGTCCTTTTGCCAACATTTCATTTAAGTGAGATATTCGTGCTGTCGATGCCAACGTCTTCCATGGCTTCCCACCACCTCCACGCTCAGTCTCATGCTGTCCACCTCCTTTGCAAGAGCAGGGAACCACCAACGGTGCAGTGGGAACTGGGACCAAACTCCTCTTAACCCCTTTCTCTCCCTTTTCTCTGAAGAAGACCATTTATGTCCTCAGATTCCGTCGCTAATTCCCACCCCACAGAGTCACCGCTGCCTTTCCATCTGCTTTTGAACCTCTTGCACGGCAAAACGCAGCTCCTGACCCGGTTCCCTGCAGAGTTGCCCAGATGTCCGATGAAGCAGTCCCTTGCTGACCACTTCACCGAGCGCTTTGCTTGTTGGATCCAGGGGAAGGAAACAGCAATGAGATCATTTGGAAAGCTGTTTTTTTCTGAATGCTTGCCCAGCGGAAAGCCAGGAGTCCGATCAGCAAACACCAAATGGTGATCACCTTCACCCTCTGATAAATTATACCTGTTTTCACTCCTCCATGAAAATGAAGGTGGTAATTAAAACCAGCAGCACTCCGTCCTCGTCTTCCATCCTGCTCGGTTCAGCGGGAGGAAGGCTGAGCTCGCAGGCGCAGCCCCGTTTGTCGGAGGGGCCGTGGGAACCGGCGGGGACCCATGGGTGGGACAAAGCCAGCAGCCGAAGCACCGCTCCAGGCTCAGCTCCCAGGTTTTGTTCAGTGACGGATGGGGACAGACACATTGTCCCTCCCCGAGCCATTTATTCACGTTTTTGATGTCCAGCACGGATCCTGGTGATCTACTGGGCGCGTGCTGGGATGCGCTCAGCAAGCGTCTCTGCGTGGCAGCATTCAGGGCTTGCGAGCCGCCGCGTCCCTCTGTTTCCAAGACAAATTAGAGGAATACGGTTCATTTTATGGCTCTCTTTAACCGAGTCAGCTTTGAAGCTACCGGCGAAAGGATCCTTCGCAGATCAAATAGGTGCTTACGGAGATTGGGCAGGGGATGCGCAGGGAACAACGTTGCATTTGGTCAATTCGCTGCCCTTCGGCATTTTTGCATCTGCAAGCGAGAAAACCAAAAACCACTCATTTACGAAACAACAAGCAGAGCCTAAAACCTAGCCTTGGGAAGGAAAACTGCTGAGAGCTTCCCCGATCCCAGTTATTCTTGTGAAATACGCAGCTTGGGAAAGCACAGAGGCGCAGCCAGCTGCAAGTCTTGGTTTACAAATAAACTCTTCTCTCCCTACCTCTCGGACAGTTACAGCTGGAAAGTGAAATGTTACAGCATGTTGCTTAACTGTGGGGCAAAACTCCACCGAAAATCAGAGCTGGCAGGCAGGATTCAGGGAAACTCTATTCCAACACCATTGAGCAACCTTTATTTCGTGTTTCGTGAGCTAAAGAGACCTGAGAGACTTAAGGGAAAGCATCTGGAAGTAAGACCCAGCCATGAAGAGCTTATGGGGAAGACACAGCATTGGCGTCACACACAGCCAGCTGCTGAGGCTCCCTGGGAGCTGTGCTTTGGCCCCACATCTTTGGAAATCATGGCCCCAGATCTGCTTTTTGGCTGATCACCGCTGCAGGAGTGAACGCCGAGCGTTGGAGGGGTTCGGCTTTGCTGGAGCCGGCTTCTTCATGACTCAAGAAACTTCAGGTCTTGCATCACCCCAGCCTCATTCAGCAGCTCCCGTCCGTTTTCTTCCCAGTTTACGGCGGGGAGAGCTGCTGGTCCATGCTGCAGGACAAGCACGAAGCACTTCGGTGGAGGATTATTTCAGATCATTCCACCTTTGCCAACGTCACCATGTTGTCGCACGCACCACGGGCCAAGGGAGGAGATCAAAGCTCAAACCCACATCTTTCACAAGAAAAAAATCCTGCTTTGACGGGGACAGCAGTCCTGATTTCTCATCCCTAGGCATGGGCAGGAACTGTGTCACTCCAACCTGGAGCACAGAAGCCTTTGTGGGTTCTTTCTGCCTTGCACTAAACCCACAGCAGCCTCTACAAGACCATGATTTACAACTTTCTATCTACCCCGAGGGCTGTCCCAGCCGGCGCGACAGCAATTTGAGCAGGAACGGCTTTCTCAGCGGGTGCTTGTAAAGCGCTAGGCGCAACGGAGCGATATCTCAGTGGGGAATCCCATAGGCCTTAATTTATTGGTTATCATTAGCAGTAATAATACTAATACAGCAGCAGAGAGATTAAAATACCCGGTGCACAGGCGTAGAAAGCTTCCCAGAACTCAGTCAGCTGGCGAAGGGCTAACGGGCTTGCTGGCAAGCGGTGCCACCAGTTCTTTAACCACACGGCGATGTCTTTTCGCATTTCACCCCGAAGACGCCATCCATCTCATCGGTCACAGGGGTGATTAAATCCCACGGAGCACAGACGCTTGTCGCTGTCACCTCAGGTCACTCGGTTTGACGGGCGGCGGGGAAGGCAGGCGGCTGGTTTTCCCGTTCCCCGAGAAACGCAGCGCCGAGCCAGCTGGGCAGCCACTTCCCAAGGAGTTTTCCCACCGCTTCGGCTCTCACTTGCCAGCTTTCCATCGGGAAGGGGCATTGTCAGCCCTTTCCTGGAAGCCATGCGTGACACCCGGTAGCAGCAGCTGGGTTATTTATGTAGCTCTGCTTGCCGGCTGGAAATACAATACACAAAATGGTCTCCAGTAGCTGCTCGCACAGGGATGTAGGGCACACAAGCAAAACTGAAATTGCAGCTCTCGTTCAAGCCAAGGTGCTGTGTGCCTCCGAATACCAGGAGAGAGAGAAAAAAAATCATCTTTAAAAAGAACCGCATGCTTTTCTTCCCAGTGTCTTATGAGCCTCCTTCAATGGGAGACTGCAGCGAGTCAGCTGTGGCTATTATAATCTTCCCTCACGTACAAGTTTTCATTCCTGCGGATATTTTAAATGAAAACACAAAGTTAATCTACCAACCTTTTTTTCCCCACCATCTGATGCAGCTGCATCTGAGACGCAACGTGCCAGCACATGTCCGCCAGCTAAAAGTCCCCCAAAACAGAGAATACAGCCTTTATCAGCTATTTTACGCTTGCAGCTGCCCATGCAAGCACTGAACACGTAGGGGAGATTTGTGGTGTCAAAGCACCTATTGACATCACCCTGCATCGACCCCGTGGTAAAACCCAGCCCAAGGTTGCGTTGGCACGTTAAAGTTGGGCTGCGAGGACAGAAAGGAGGAGGATGCCCGGGTGCCAGATCTCATGTACATCACCAGCCGGGCCAGGAAGAAAAATCCATCATCGCAAGCTCACGAGAGCACGGCAGCGACGTGAGAGCCCCCATGCTCTTGTGCACAAGGCTCTGGATGCTCACGCAAAGGGGCTGGTAACAGATTTTGGGTGGAAAACAGTGCCCCGTAGGCTATGTTACCTCGCCGGACCTCTATGGTGTGCTCCCATGAATCACAGAATCACAGAATCACAGAATAGTAGGGGTTGGAAGGGACCTCTGTGGGTCATCTAGTCCAAGCCCCCTGCCAAAGCAGGG